ATGACCTCCTACTTTAACTTGTCGAGCGTAACTCTGAAGCTTGATCAGGATTAGATGGTATCGCACAGAAAGTTGAAATCAACCCCAAGTTATGATATTTACGTTCTTATCTTCTGCGAAGATGTTTACACAGTAGTACAGGGAGAGAATTTGAGAGTTACTCTGTAATACGAGTTAATACATCGTTGTACAAAAATAAGAGCTGTTACAGCTCTTTGAGAGTCCAATCTAATTCGCTCTTGTGGTTTTCTCAATAGAACTTGAGTCCTTAAAAGAAGGTAAATAAATTACTGCAGGAAAAGCCTTTCCTTGCTAATCGAAAAATATAAAGAATACCTCGGATCCCGTCGCATCCGTCTCCCCCATGAACATTTCGAAGTAATTAAAATACGCTATTACCCGGGAATGTTCTTCAAACTCGATACAAAAAAACTCTTACAGGATCCAATTATTAAAAATCAGCAACAAAAAGTTTTGACAGCGAAAATTTATTATATGTTGTTATAGCAAGAATAAAGTTAAACAGGGTTTGATGCTTGGTGCAGTTGAACATTTATCAATTTTCATGTTTTGCTGCTTCGGGGTAAAAAAGGATAAGGGTTACAAAACACTATTGGAAGAGTGTCTCAATGGGGTGATGACTTTTACGGTTTAATTTTCACGGTTAACCCGATCGAGACCCTCTTGGAGTATAACCAGCCAAGACGATTTAAATATACGAAAATTCTATATTTAAGGTTTTCTTTTACAAATGAAGATGGAGAGGAGGTGGACATTTCCTTTGGATCTGATAAAAATGAAGTTTTCAAAACCGGAGAGTCCGCCACCCAGTTCCCACAGGAGTATATCTTTGAGTCAGACACTGAAAGATTCCACCTCATCGACACTCCAGGCATCGGGGACAGTAGGGGAATTGATCAGGACAAGAAAAACTTTGCAAACACCTTGGACTTCCTTCAATGCTTCGACGAGATAAGTGCTGTTATTGTGCTTCTCAAACCAAACAATGCAAGGTTAACGGTGGCTTTTAAGTTCTGTGTCTTAGAATTGCTGACCCACCTTCACAAGTCACTGGTATCCAACATAATGTTCGCCTTTACCAACTCCAGGGGAACTTTTTACAGACCAGGAGACACTCTTCCAGCACTGAAGAAACTTCTAAAGGAAAAACAGATTTCGATCGATGCCTCAAAGGAAAACTATTTTTGCTTTGACAACGAAGCCTTCAGGTATAATTATACCACGATAACGAAAATTTTAGATCTTTCTGAGTGCTTTTAATGTGGATCATGCCACATCCGGAGTAAATACACCGTGTGACAGATTTATTTACTGCATTTAGAAACTGAAGACACCATGATGACAACGCGTGACCCCTTTTATCATATCATTTTCAAACTTGTCCATCTGACACTTTCTTGAAGAGAATCTTTAACTCAAATTACAGTTACATCTGAACCAGGTAAAAAATGTTTAAACTTTTTTTTTATACCAAGGAATCATAGTACCGAGGTACTGACATTTTGAGACTTTATTTGTCATTTGTAGGTTTCTTGCCTGCAAAAAGAAAGGGGAAGAGTTCACACAGAGAGAAATCGATCTTTACTCGGAGAGCTGGGTCCAGTCACGCGAAACAACTCTCAAGCTATTGGCACGAGTGCTGGGACTGAAGCCCCATGATACAAAGGAGACACTAAGCCTGAACGAGGCGAGAAACTACATAATCGCCCTAAGCAAACCAATGGGGGAAGCTGTTGACCTTATAAATAGGAATTTGAAAGCAATTGAAGATAGAAGAAAAGAGGTGGCGGGTTGTGAACAAAATATCAAAACTTTCGAGGCTCAACTAAAGTTCACAGGGTATGAGCTGAAGATCGAAAGACTTGACTATCCTATGACTGTTTGTACTTCTGAAGTGTGCAAGAAATATGAAAACATCGGTGAGACTAGAGAGAGAAATACAATTTATAGTCAGGTCTGTCACGAGCACTGCTCGCTGCGAGTTCCGAAAGAGACCACCAACAACGAGGAACTTCGAGGCTGTGCAGCAATGACCGAGGGGAAATGCAGGAGATGCACTCACGACTACAGAATCCACATGCACATCTCCTACAAAGCTACTATCCAGCCAAAGGAATTCCTCTCTC